TCTATACATATATATACAGCATATGCCCATATTACCACTTATTTCTTACCTGACGTTCCCCTTCACTCACCCATAGGCCATAGTAAAATCTTCATGAAGGAGAATCTCGAGTTGCAACTGGAGAAGAAGCGTTTGGAGCGTGTGCGTAAGTCAGTGGAGACGATTGCGTGGGCTCTACAGGGCTATGCCATTCGCTGTCGCTTTGTGCGAATGAAGGTGTGTACGTGTACGTGCGTGCATATATATCTGTATGTGCGAGCGTGTATATATTTCTGTATGTGCGTGCGTGTTATCTGAAGTAGCTATGTCTATATTTCGTATGTGCGTGTCTGACTTCGCAGGGAGATGTGTAAACGCGTGCGTCTCGTATCTCTAAATCAGCGGCCATTGTAGCATACATACCTGCACTGACCATCGCACGTCCTTCTTTGCCCTACACCCCCTTCTCATCACTCTCCCAACACACACAGCTATATCTACTATCACACAACACTCACACCTACATCTACTATCAAACAACACAACACACCTTCATCTATTATCACACATCCTCCATTACCACATTACCACCCATCCTTCTCTTCTAACACACCCCCTCCCCCCCCCCCCCACCACACAGTCGGCGTCCATTGTCTGTCAAGCAGCCATTCGGTGCGTGTTGGCCAATGCACAGGTAAGTCGCCTCCGAACGCAGCACAACACACAACTCTCCGCCGCAGTCACACTGCAGTGTGCGTGGAGATGCTATGTGGCACGCCAGGCTATTGGAGCACTCGTCAGGAAGGAGCAGCAGCGGATGGCGGAGGTAGGTGCAAGGGGTAGGAATAGAGGGGAGGAGTGGAGATAGATTGCAAGTGTACGAATAGATGGGGTGGAGGTAGAAAATAGGAGTATGACTAACTGGGTAGAAGTAGAGTATAGGGATATGAATAGATGGGTTGTAGGGAGATTATAGGAGTATGAATAGATGGGGTGGAGGTAGAGTATAGGATTATGAATAGATGGAGTGTAGGTAAATCATAGTAGTGTCAATAGAGGTGAATTGAAAGCAAACGAGGTGTAGTTCATAATTGTGCCGTGTATACAAAGGGCAATGTGAGTACCATAAGGTTATAAATAGATATTGTGCAGGTAGATCATAGGCATATATGTACATTGGATGTAGATAGATGATAAGAGAAACCCAGTGTAGGTATATTATAGTCCTTTGTTGAGTATGAATTGCACTGTGTTGACTGACTGTGCTATGACTGTTTTGTTTTGTTCGCCTTCAGATGGCCATTGCCGAACGACAAGCCCTCGAGCTCGCGCGCGCCAAGAAACTGGCAGCGGAGCAAGGAATGGTTAAAATGGCCCAATCAGAAGCCGCGAAACGCAAGGCCGAGGAGATGGCAGCCAATGAGCAGCAGGAACGAGAAAGGGCCATGGAGGACAAGGAGAATCTGGCCAATCAGAATGCAGAGAATGAGCGCGAACTGGTCAAGCGCAGCAAGAGCAAACGCATGTCCAGACTACACGACACAGTCGAGGCACAGCAGCGCAGAGCCAATGTGAGTGGCTGCAACGGGCACACGCACGTGACGGTGGTAGCTGTTATGGAGTGTGTGCAGTTATCTGTGATAGTTGATATTGAGTGGGTGTGTGTGTAAGATAGTTGTTATAGTGCATGTGTGTTTGTGTGTGTGTGGTAGCTGATATGAAGTGGGTGGGTGTCTGTGGTAGTTGTGAAAGAATGTGCGAGTGTCTGTATTAGTTATGTGCAGGTGTATGTGGTAGTTGTTAGTGTGTGTGTGTGTGTGGTAGTTGTGAAAAGAAAGAGTGTATGTGTGTCTTAGATGTGAAAAGATGTGTGGGTGTCTGTGTTAGTTGTGGCAGAGTGAGTGGGTGGGTGTGCTAGTTGTGAAAAGATAGAGAGAGTGTGTGTGTTTGTGTTAGTTATAGTGTGTGTGTGTGTGCGCGCGTTTGTTGTGGATGAGTGCGTAGGTGTCTGTGTTGGTTGTTATAGTGTGTGTGTGTGTGTGTGTTCGTTTGTTGTAAATGACTGTGTGAGTGTCTTTGTTGATTGTTATAGTGAGTGAGTGAGTGTGTGTGTGTGTGTAAGTTGTGACAGAGTGCGTACAGTTGTGTATATTTGTACATGTTTGTGTTTTGTGGGTGAACGAACTTGCATGGGTATAAGCGTTATATTTAAGAAGTTCTCTATGTGTAAAGAAAGTGCGCGTTTTATTCAAAAGGTTATCCATGTGTATGGCTTGGGCACTCATTCGTATTATATGTTTGCGAGTGGATATCGGTGTTTGTTAATGCACACCTCAATGGGACTCCTAATGTCTACCGTACACCTCAAAGGGATTTCTAATGGTCATAGTACATGTCGGGCACATTCCTTTGTTTTACTTTTTGTTTTTCTCTCACACATCTACTCGTCAAACGCTCTTGTCTATCATTAAGTGAGTTGAATCTCGACCCTTTAACTTATACTACCAGCACATATGTATTGGGTTTAGGGTTAAGTGTTTAGGGTTCAGCTCAAATTCACACACGCACACCACTAACGTATTTTCATCATAGAAGTACAGGTATACTAGGCTGGTGGACTCACTCATTCAGCTTATTACTTCCATCAAACACACACACACACACACTCTTCTATCCCAACTCCATCGTGCACACACAGGCGCGTATGAGTACAAACTCTATGCGTGGGGTTGATCTGAGTGAGCCTTCCAAGTACGGCGACGACTTAGTAGCTGAGATGACTGAGGGCATTGCAACAGGTGCTACGCTGCAGGCCTCTGGAGTGGACGAGGTGGGTGTACACACAAGCTATATGTGTGTGTAATAGTAAACTCATGTGTACAGACATGCTGTATGTGTATGTATTAGTAAACTCATGTGTACAGACATGCTATATGTGTATGTATTAGTAAACTCATGTGTACAGACATGCTGTATGTGTTTGTATTAGTAAACTCATGGTTACAGACATGCTATATGTGTATGTATTAGTAAACTCATGTGTACAGCCATGCTGTATGTGTATGTATTAG